TGAACCACACGCCTCTGGGACTGCAGTGAAGCTTCTTGCCACCAGGCCACCAGAGCTCCCTGAAGACATCAATTCTTTCTGTCATCTTTAGTCATTGTCCGGCTCTCTGCTGAACAAGTAACTGTAAAGACCATGGCCTGGATTAGGCGCACCTTAGTCTCTAGACTGACATAATTGGATCTACTTTTTTCCTTCCTTTTGTAGATTGTTTTACTTTATCCCTAAATAACATATTTTTCATTGTCCTTAAACCCTGTAAACCACTTCAATCTACATAAATATAGGTGGGATATAAAATGTAAATGAAACCACCATACTTTTAATGTGTATTCGAGTTTATAGGTAGAATAATGCATCTGCCAAAGGTGATGCCTCTGACAGTTTGAATTCACCAGTGGTTCTGAGGGAGAAAGATGGGAAAATGCCCTCCTGTGCAATTTACAGCTTCCAAAACCAACTGGAGGGTCATTTATGAGTTAGTTCTGATTTGATGGCAATGAAGTTTTGTAGTCACAAGTGATACACTTAAGTTTACAATTAAGACAACTGAGATGTCTTAATTTTAATGGATCAATAACATATTAAAAGGAAGAAAAATATTTAATTGCTGTGTTTTAAGATAAACTCATCATTTCTATGATTATGGTTTTTTTTCTTACGTGAATAACATTGTCTTTTACTTTGGCCAAATTTTTAATCCTATTCATAATCATTTAAAGAAGACTAAAACAGCACAGTAATAGAAACCTGAGTTTGAAAAGTTTAATCAGAATATTAGAGTCTTCATCAAAATATTTGAGTCTCTTCATCAAAGGCAACATTATTCTATATTATCAAGAAATAATTAAAATTTACTTCCTACTCCAGGATATTATAAATATGTGTATATTAATTTTAAAAAAATTAAGTGATATTGACCACTTTAACACTTCATTGAAGATACTGAGAAATATAACAGTCATTTTACGGTCATGAGTGTATTCATGTATCTGATGAGTTAGATTTTTTTCACTATTAACACAACCTCATTTGCGGTTTTGGTGAGAAATCTTTATTACAAATTTGTCCATGGATAGTGAAGAGGTTGAGATTGTTCACAGCTTTAGTTTGCTTGGCTCCACAGTCAACACTCTTGGCACCAGTAGCCAGGAAATTAAAAGATGTATTGCGATGGAAAAGTCTGCCGTTAGAGGCCTTTCCAAAGTTCTGAAGAGCAATGGTGTCTCTCTGGAGACTAAGGTGTGCCTGATACAGGCAATCACTTGTTATGCATCAGAGAGTTGGACAATGACTAGGGAGGATAGAAGGAGAATTGATGCCTTTGAGCTGTGGTGCTGGAGAAGATTATTGAGGGTACCATGGACTGCTAGGAAAACAAACAGATTCATCTTGGAGAGGATTAAACCAAGGTACTCCTTGAAGGCAAGGATTCTGGGGCTTCGTCTGACATACTTTGGACATGTTGCCAGGAGGGACGGGTCCTTGGAGAGGGACATCATGCTTGGGAGGGTGGAGGGACAGTGCAGGAGGGGAAGGCCCTCTATGAGGTGGATTGATTTGGTGACTGGGGTAATTGGGATGGGTGTGTCAGAGGCAGTGCGGTTGGCGCAGGATAGAGCAGGGTTTAGGGCTGTTGTGCATCGGGTCGCTATGAGTCGCAAACGACTCGACGGCACATAACAACAACAACAGTTATTATGTGCCATTGAGTTGGAACTGACTATAACTGACCCTCCAGTGGGTTTTTGGAAGCTGTAAATCACATAAGAGGAGATTTCCCACCTTTTTCCTGCAGAGCACCTGTGGATTTGAAGTACCTGCCGTTGGGTTGTTAGTGCAATTCTTTGCCACTAGTCCACCAGAGCTCTAGAGTCAATGGAAATTCATATTTTACACAGATTATATAGAAGGAGCCTTCATAGCTCAGTGGTTAAATGTTACGCTGCTAACCTAAAGGTTTTCAGTTCAAACACACACAAGCAGCTCCATGGGAGGAAAGATCTGGCAATTTGCCTTCCATAAACATTACAGCTTAGGAAATCCTATGTTCTATAGGGTGCCTATGAGTAACTCAATAGCACGAACAATAACAATACACTTATATACATTAACATGCACATAAATATACAAGTAACTTTCTTACTTGGTCCTTCAAGTAGGTACATCGACCTTAGTTTTTACAAAGGAGATAAAAATAGTAACAAAGATTTCCTTTGTCTCTCACACACATCACAGCAACAAACATAGAAATAATAATTTTAGATATAAATATCTCAAACAAACAAAAAGAACCCTCACTGCCATTGAGTTGATTCCTACTCAGGGCAACTGTCCATTGGGTTTTTCAGACTGTAAATCTTTACAGCAATCTGCTCAAATTTCTTCTGCTGGGACCCTGGTGACTTCTAACTAAGGAAGATATGCAACATTTTGGTTAGCAGTGCAAAACACTATGTATTATGCCACCTGAACCTGCATATAGAAATATGATAATTAAATATTTTTCTTCTTTTAATATTTACAGAGTTCTGGGAGTGTAGTCCGTAGGGAGTTGTGTTGCTAACTGAATGGCTACAGCTCTGGCAGTTTGAATCTACCAGCCACTCTATGGGAGGAAGATGGGCAATTTCAATAGAAGAAGCCCAATGGAGGGTCAGCTATGAGGTGGTTCGAACTCAATGACAATGAGTGAGAATATATTTTTGTTATGTGTTGTCAAGTTAGAACCATCCCATAGCTGTCCCTTCAGTAAGTTTTCAGAGGCAGTAAATTATACAAGAGGAAACTGCCCATCTTTCTTCCTTGGAGCACCTGGTGGATTCAAACCATGTGCCTTTGGATTGGCAAGCTCAGCTCCTTACTCCTAGGCCTCCAGAGCTCTCTTATATTAATATATGAAGGAGTGGGAGAGAGAGTGAAGGGGGCGGGGAAGGATTTAAAAAAGGCAAAGCTATTAATTAATTCCAGTACTATTGTTGTTGTTAAGTGCCATCAAGTCATAGAGGACTCATAGCAACTCTATGAATGAAAGACCTGAACACTTGTATAACTTTTTCATCATTTCTCCAAATTCACAGAGTTTCCAGAGGCAAGATATTTTGTAAATGGATGCCACACCTGCTTCCAAGCCTGTTTTAATCTGGGAGCTCCACCAAACACTGCCCACCATGGGTAATCATTATCTCATTTGACACACCAGTGTCACAGTGTTTAGTATCACAGCAACCACGAGTTACCTCTGTATAGCAAATGGACAGACCAGTGCTGTACCACTTAGAAGAATGTTTGACCAAGAACAACTAAAACCAGGCCTGTGGGCCACAGATTAAAATCATCTACCTTTGGCTTGTTAGCATAACTTTCTATCCACTAGGCCAGGAGAGCTCTCTGTGCGACTTATAGCAATTCTATGAACAAAAGTTCTAACCCTTGCCCCATCCTACGACATCCCCAAAATTCGAGAAAAACTCGAGCCAATTGTTACAGTCACTGTATCAATCCATCGTGCTGAGGATCTTCTTCTTTGACCTTCTCTCAGCATGATGATGTCAGTACTACAGATCTAAAATATCATTAATTGTATTTTATTTCAGATATTAAATAATTGGCTAATAATTTTTTCTTGTTCTTTTATCTTACCATAACCAGTTCTAACATTAAAACTCTCTTAATAAATACAAATATAGCTTTTCCATTGACTCCTACAATAAGCCATACTAATATTTTTGAAGTACTTTTATCTCAATATTTTATACTTATGAGAAATAAACTTTAAAAAATTTAACTTTAGTTCTGTAAGTTCCCTATCTACTTCTCACTTTCAAACAATCTAGAGAAATAAGGCATGCCTTTTAGTTTGTCATATCTTTTTCAGTAGCTTCTATTAGACCTATGTCATGTGAGAATTTTATTTCCTTCAGGAGTTAAGCAGATTTCTGTTCAAAGTGTTTTCTCTCAATTCAACTCAACTCAGCAGTCAAGTCAGATCTTCCTCATAGCTGAACCTCTAGGAGGTTTTCTGAGGCTATAAATCACACAGGAAGAGATTGCCCATCTTTGTCCTGCAGATCAGCTAGTGGATTCAAACCGCCTGCCTTTGGGTTGGCAGTGTAACTCCTTATCCACTAGGTGATCAGAGCTTCTATTATTGTTAAGTGTCACCAGTGTACTACAACTCATTGCAACCCAGTGAACAAGAGAACTGAACCTTGCTCTATCCGGCTCCATCCCCCTGATATCTGAGATGCTGGAGCCCATTGTTTCAGCCACTGTGTCAGCTCATCTTGTTGGGGGTCTTCCTCTCATTCTCTGATCTTTCTTCACCTTTCCAAGGACTGGTCTTTCCAGCTGGATGGGCCAGTCCTTAGTACTTTCTTTTCTTTTAAATCTACACTTTAAACTTGAGCGACTCAGAGACACTGAGAAAAAGGTAAAGAATATAGACAAGAAAATGGAAGCTAAATGAGAACAGAGTAGTCAGATAGCCAGGGCTAAGAAAAGTTCTTCTGGTTCTTATTCTTCTCTCTTCAAATACTTTGCAAAACATATTTGCCAGTGTTTAAAATAAAGTCACAATTATAGCTTCTTATCTTCTAGAATTAATGGTTCATTTCCTTTGTTTGAGCCACAAAGAAATCTTTCATCTTGAAAATTTTTGAAAGTAAAATATCATTATCTACATTTAAAGTCTTTTCAATAACTCCTCTCTGTTTGACATAAGCTATTCCATAAGTTAGGGAGCTCTGTTAGCATAGTTCATAGGGAGTTGCACTGCTAACCCAAAGGTGCTGCTTTTCTGGCGATCTGAAACTACCAACAACTCTCTGGGAGAAAGATGGCAATCTCTTCCTGTGCAAATGTACAGTCTCCTAAAACTCCCTGGATGGTCAGCTATGAGTCTATTCTGACATGACACAATGAGTTTAGGTGTGGTTTTTTTTGATGTTATATTTAAAATATGTTAAATGAATAATATCCAAAGGGAAGAAGAGTTGACTTACCTAGGATGGTTATTTCAAAATGTCCAAGGCTGCAGGCACTCTTAAAATCCTCAAGTTTCGGAGACCCTTCTTCTGGTGGTAAATATTTTGAAGGTTGAGAATTATATTGCTGAGTAAGAAATTTTCTGTGCTCAAAAACAAATTTCCTTGGAATACTTTCAGGATAAACGTTGCTGTAATGTAGGTGATCTATTAAACCAAACTTTTTTTCTCTCCATAGTGGACTCTCCCATTTATCAATGATAATTTTTTTGCCTTTCCCTACGGGATGTCCATTTGTACCTTCTCGACCTGATAAAGACATCAAGAAACAGGCACAGTTGACTTATAAACTTGCCAAATTTAACAATTTACTATACTAAAACACATGCCAATGAGAAATGTTTTAATTAACTTCAAATAAATCACCACCCTATAAAATACAAATTGAGTATCCCAAAGAGTATTAAAGTGAAGAAAGAAAGAAATTCACTTTGAGAAGGAAAATTTACCCTAAAATATTACAAGTGTTAGTGTTTTCTCTGTTGTTGGACTCATGAAGATTTGCAATTATCTTTTTTTGTACTGTCTTTGTGTTTTCCAAATACTTTTAAATAAATATATTTTCCTTTTCAGAAACAAACTGAAGTTAAATAAAAGTAATCAGAATAGAATCTCTAGAGATGGGACCTTATCACCACTAATAATCGATGGAATTTAAATTTAAAACAACTGTGTTCATCTCTGCTAAAAAGAGCATTAAAAATGCCTTATGCATCCCTGTATGTATCTCTCTTCCAAAAGGACAATTTATTTGTTATATATGATACCCTTTTAAGATAGAAATGACATGTTGTTGTTGTTATGTGCCATTGAGTTGCTTGAGACTCATAGTGACCCTATGTACAACAGCCCTAAACTCCGCTCTGTCCTGCGCCAATCGCACTGTCTCTGACACTCCCATCCCAATTATCCCAGTCACTGAATCAATCCACCTCATAGAGGGCCTTCCTCTCCTGCGCTGTCCCTCTACCCTCCCAAGCATGATGTCCCTCTCCAAGCACCGGTCTCTCCTCACAACATGTCCAAAGTATGTTAGACGGAGCCTCAGAATCCTTGCCTCCAAGGAGCCACCCGGTTTTACCCTTTCCAGGACAAATCTGTTTGTTTTCTAGCAGTCCATGGTATTCTCAACACTCTTCTCCAGCACCACAGCTCAAAGGCATCAATTCTCCTTCTATCCTCCTTGGTCATTGTCCAACTCCCTGATGCATAACAAGTGATTGGGAAGACCATAGCCTGTATCAGACGCACCTTAGTCTCCAGAGAGACACCATTGTTCTTCAGTACTTTGGAGAGGTCCCTAACCGCAGACTTTCCCATCGCAATACGCCTTTTAATTTCCTGGCTGCTGGCAACAAAAGTGTTGCAGCAGGCGCTTCAGGTCCTTTTCAGTTTCAGCAAGCAGGGTTGTGTCATCTGCATAACGCAGATTGTTGATAAATCGTCCACCAATCTTGACCCCACATTTCTCCTCATAGAGCCCAGCCTCCCGGATAATCTGTTCTGCATATAGGTTGAAAAGGTATAGAGACAGGACGCATCCCTGGCATACACCCTTCCCAATTTTGAATCATGCAGTGTTCCCTTGCTCTGTTCTGACGACTGCCTCCTGGTCCAAGTATAAGTTTCGTATTAGAACGATCAAGTGTTCTGGACATATGAAAGAAAAAAAAAAAACCCACACCCAAACAAACACCAAAGCCAGACGTTTTTCCATCAAATAGAATTCTAAATCACAGCAACCATAAAGGACAGAGTAGAACTACCCCATAGGGTTTTCAAGGCTGTAAATCTTTATGGAAGCAGACTGCTACATCTTTTAACTGTGGAACAGCTGGTAGGTTTGAACCATTGATCTTCGGATTCGCAGTCAAAAGCTTAAGAACTGAACCACAAGGCTCTTATGGGAAATAAAGAGGGAACGAAAATAAATTATTGACCTTTTTCTATCCAAAGCCTATTTAACATTTATACAAATAGACTTATTTAATTTGTAAGACAGAATATAATTGCTCCTCTATACATTATGACATTCATTCATTTATTTCAACAAAGAATTATTGAGCCCTTACTATGTGTCACATACTGTGCTAAGGAATTTAGTACAAATGATAGTTAACTGAATAATATACCCTGGAAATTTAAAACATAGAAGAATGGGAAAAATAGATTTTGGCAGAAAACTTTCATGTTGTTAGGTCAAGTACCTGAAACAAGCTGATAGCAACTCTTTCAGAATTTCCTCAGGCTGCTAAGTTGCTTCACTTCCATGGGGTTGATTCTTATAGCATGAAAATAAAATTTATTGAGACCAAGATTGGCTTCAACAGCAAGGTTCTACTGTGGTTACTGAACCACTTTTGATTTCAGTCTTTATTCCATTTTCTCAGACTTCTTGCTTCATTTCATGAACCATAGACTGCTGTTAAGTTGCTCTTGTTAAGCTGTTGTTGATAGGTATCGTCAAGTTGAGAATAACTCATAGAAAGCCTATGAAAAACAGAGCTGAATCCTGTCCTATCCTGTGCTATCCTCATCATCTCTGACACACTTGAGCTCATTGCTGCAGTCACTGTATCTATCCATCTCATAAGGATTTGCCTCCCTTTCACTGACCTTTCTCCTTTTTAAGCATGATGCCCCTTCCAAGGAATTGTTGTTGTTGTTATGTGCCGTCGAGTCGCTTGTGACTCATAGCGACCCTATGTACAACAGCCCTAAACCCTGCTCTACCCTGTGCCAATCTCACTGCCTCTGACACATCCATCCCGATTACCCCAGTCACTGACTCAATCCACCTCATAGAGGGTCTTCCCCTCCTGCGCTGTCCCTCCACTCTGCCCAGCATGATGTCCCTCTCCAAAGACCTGTCTCTCCTTACAACATGTCCAAAGTATGTCAGGTGATGTCCCAGAATCCTTGCCTCCAAGGAGCAGCCTGGTTTAACCCTCTCTAGGATGAATCTATTTGTTTTCTTGGCAGTCCATGGTACATTCTTCTCCAGCACCACAGCTCAAAGGCGTCAATTCTCCTTCTATCCTCCCTAGTCATTGTCCAACTCTCTGATGCATAACAAGTGATTGCAAAAACCATGGCCTGTATCAGGCGCACCTTAGTCTCCAGAGAGTCACCGTTGCTCTTGAGTACTTCAGAGAGGTCCCTAACCGCAGACTTTCCCATCGCAATACGTTTTTTGATTTCCTGGCTACTGGTGCCAAGAGTGTTGACCGTGGAGCCAAGCAAACTGAAGCTGTGAACATACTCAAAGTGTGAGAGACAAAGATTCACCATCTTTGTGTCCAAGGAGCACTCTGGCTGCACATTTTCAAAGACATATCTGTTTGTTCTTTTGGAAGTTCATGGGATATGCAGAACTCTTCTCAAACATCACAATTCAAAAGCATCAATTCTTTTTCTATCCAGCTCTCAGATGCATAGCAAGTGACTGAATAGAAAATGGCCTGAATCAGTCACACTTTAGTCTTCAGACTGACATAATTTCTCTTCAGTATTTTGGAGAGGTTCCCTGACAGCAGACTTGCCCAATACAATACATCTCCTGATCTCCTGACTGCTGGCTGGTATCAAGGGTGTCGATTGTTAATTCAAGCAAGATGAAATCACTGACAACTTCCAAGTTTTCTCCATCTATCATGATGTTTCCTATTGGCTCATTGGTGAGGATTTTTGTCCTCTTGATGTTGAGATGCAATTCATATTGAAGACTGTAGTCCTTGATCTTCTGCAGCAAGTATTTCAAGTCTCCCTCATTTTCAGCAAGCAAGGTTGTGTCACCTGCATAATGCAGGTTGTTAATGAGTCTTCCTCTGATCCTTGATGCCACATTCCTTTACACAGAGTCCATGTGCATGATTTGCTTAGAATACAGATTGAATAAGTAGGGGGAAAGAATACACCCTTGGCAAGCACCATTCCTAATTTTAAGCCATGCAGTGTTCCCTTGCTTCATTTGGACAACAGCTTTCTAGTTTAAGTATTGATTTTGCATTAGTACAATGAAGTGTTTTGGGATTCAAATGAGCAGAAAATGACTCAATCAAAGACAAGAGAAAAAGCAAAGTTAATAGTACAAGAGTGAGACGGAACACATTTGATATTCCCCTGAAGCAAAAAACTGAGAAACAAAGTAAAACAGATACAGATGACAATCTGGGCACTCAGAACAGCAAATGCAAGGATAAAGACTTAGAGAAAACACTGAAAGTAGGGAGAAAAAAAATAATGAATGAAGTGACTTATGGACTGTAGCTGCCCAAATAGCTAGCTCATTACAGTGCGGCCATCCTGAGACAAAACAAGCAGAACTCACAAATGAGGAAGGTAACTTCATGGTCTTCAGTAGGAATTGAAGTTACCATGCAGACAAATCCACAGCTAAGTAAGGTGAGCATAACATGAAGGAGGGGAAAATGTAGAAGTGGGGGCAAGAGCTCCAGATATCCAAGTGTCCATAGAGCATTCTAGATCTTTTAAAAGATGTTCTATCTGCCAGATTGACTAGATGTCACTCCTTCTTTTCAACTAGCCTAAACCACTTGCCCAAAAATCCAAAATAGACACACTGTTAATAATAAGCTGTTTTCTTCTGATGGTGATCCTCCATTGGCCTTTGGAGGCTATAGAGTGTTAACAGAGGAGAATGCCTTTTTTTCTATGAAATATTTAGTGGATTAGAACTGCTAACCTTTTGGTTAGCAGTCCAACATGTAATACACTATACCACCAGAGCTCCTTTTATTACTGGTCTGTTGTTGCTGTTAAGTGCCATCAAATCAAGAATCACTCATAGTGACCCAATGAACAACAGATCTGAACCTTGTTCTAGCCTGTGTCATCCTTATAATTTCTGATATACTTGAGCCCATTGCTGTAGTCACTGTGTCAACTCATCTGGTTGAGGGTCTTCCTCTTTTTCACTGTCCCTCCACCTTTCCAAGTATTATGTACTTTTCTAATGTCTACCTGCTCCTAACAACATGCCCAAAATATATGAGATGAAGCTTCACTATCCTTGCCTCTAAGGAGCATTCTGAGTACATCTTCTCTAAGACATATCTATTTTTTCTTTTGACAGTCCATGGGACACTCACCACTATTCTCCACCACCACAACTTAAAGGTTTGTCTTTCTTCTGTCATCTTTATACATTGTCTAGCTCTCAGATGCAAAGCCGATGATTGAAAAGACTATGGCTTGAATCAGATGCACCTTAGTCTTTGAGGTGACATCATTGCTTTTCTGTACTTTGGAGCAGTCCCTGACAGCAGACTTTCCTGGTGCAATACACCTTTTGATTTAATGACTGCTAATATTGATGTTGTTAATTATAGATCTAAGCAAGATTAAATCACTGACTATTTCAGTGTTTTCTCCATCTATCATGATGTAGTCTATTGGCCCAGTGGTGAGGATTTTTGGTTTCTTAATATTGAAGGCTAGAGTCCTTAATCTTCTGGAAGTGCTTCAATACTTCCTTACTTTCAGTAAGCAAGGTTGTTTTATTTGCATAATGCAGGTTGTTGATGAGTCTTCTGATCCCAGTGCCACATTCTCATAGAATCTAGCTTGTCGAATGATTTGTTCAGCATATAGATTGAACAGGTATGGAGAGAGGATATAGCAGGCTCTTCTAATATTACTTTTTATTAAATCAATTCTATTCTTACGTCAGTTAGTATCTTACATCTCAACAAACATTTCCTCCAGAACAGTAAAGGATAGGAAAGAAAAGATGAGATTAATTTCAAATAATCGCTCCATATGAGATGAAAACCAATATATGCAAAGGACACAGTGTGGTGCCTGGCACATGCATGCTCAATAAATGGAGAATATTGTTATAATATAATTATGGGAATTACTTTATCACTTTCTATATACAAAACAGAAGGGATAATCTAAAACACATGCCAACATAAAATTTTCCTAAAGGTTAATCTGCAAGCTGAAGACTGGAAATTTAATTGCTGTCCTGGATATTTAGCAGAGGTTCACAAACCCCAGAAGCAATTATGCTCTTGTTCTTCTTTTTTATAACTTAGAGTCTAGGTAAGATCCATTTCATTCAGGTAAACATATTTTACTTCAAATCGTAATTGTTGTATATCAGAGAGTCTGAATGGACCCAGATGCAGTAATCTCAGGGGAAGAGATTGCCCATTATTCTCCCGCGGAGTAGCTGGGGACCTCAAACTGTGTGCCTTCAGGATTGCAGCACAGCTTCTTGCCACTAGGCCGCCACAGTTGGTGTTGTTGTTCTTGTATGTGCCGTCGAGTCACCGGAGACTCATAGCGTCTAAATCTTGCTCTATCCCTTGTCAATTTTATTGTCTCTGACACACCTACCTTCATTGAATCAATACATCACATCGAGGGTCTTCCTCTCCTGTGCAGTCCCTCCACCCTCCCACGTATGCCGTCCCTCTCCAAGGACTGATCTCTCCTTGCAACATGTCCAAAATATGTCAGAAGAAGCTTCAGAATCCTTGCCTCCAAGGAGCAGCCTGGTTTCACCCTCTCCAAGATGAACTTGTTTGTTTTCCTAGCAATTTATGGTATATTCAATACTCTTCTCTGGCACCACAACTCAAAAGCATCAACTCTCCTTCTATCATCCCTAGTCATTGTCCAGCTCTCTGGTGCATAGCAAGTAATTGCAAAGACCATGGCCTGTATCAGGCGCATCTTAGTCTCCAGACTGACATCGTTGCTCTTCAGTACTTTGAAGGGGTCTCTGACAGCAGACTTTCCCAATGCAATTTGTCTTTAAATTTCCTGGCTGCTGGTACCAAGAGTGTTGATTATAGAGCCAAGTAGTTAAGGTAAATAAATTTTTTCCTTCATAATTGCCAAGATAATATTTTTACTACAACCATCTCAAGTTCTCATTCACACATTTTAAACTAAATATTTACTCTTAGAGGAAACCCAGTCCATCTGGGAAGGAAAAATTAATAACTATTAATAAATTAATAACTATTACTTGATAACCATATTTTTAGAGTGAAAAGACATCTAACAGGCTAAGTTAATATTGATGGGTATTATTAGAAGAATATTTTAAAATTCTAGAATGAAATTGTTAAGAGTATAAAAGAATTCATGCAATGTAACAAGCAATGAAAACCATATTAGAACCACGTATAAAGGCTGATTAAGGCATATATTATAGAAGACTGTAAGGAATAAAATGACTCTATCAGTTCTATATGGAGAAGGAAAACAGAATAACAGTAAAAGTAAGAAGGAAATAAAGTTTTAAAGAGTCTAGTTCATATTATCCCTTATAAGACTTGATTTAAACCAAATTATTGTAGAAGCACGCTATCAGAACTAAACGGTACTATAAAATTGCTTTAGAAACAAATCCCAAGTTGAAATCAGCTTAACTAATAGATAAGAAAGAAAATACAGCCACCATATTTTTCCTCATAATGTGCTTAAGAAATACTTTGGGTGAGGCTGTAGTTGGCTAAATAAATAAATGAATTTATAATGCACAGATTATTTTTATAAAAATAAGATCTATTTTATAACTTGTCCACATTTACTGTCAATCATAAATTAACTATCCTACTTAATTATTCTTCTGGTAGTTAAAAATAGTACATATAAGGGGAAGCACTTCAAAAGAAATGAACAGGTAAATGTGTTTGTTTATATTTAGGTTCACTTTTGGGATGATACTTAGATTATTCTAAAGTTGGGATCAATCATTTTGGCAAGCATCTAAACAAAAATAAATGCTAAATCAAAACCCTCAGACTATCTATATAAAGCACTTATTTTATATTACTAACAGCGGTGGCACAAAATTGTAGAACCAAATCAATAGTATTATTCCACAAAGATGTTGTAAGTAATAGTAATAATAAAAAGTAACATACATTGACCAGTGCATGGAATACCTGGTTTATTTCCTTTTCCTTGAGAAGAAGTCTGTGGTTGAAGTACAGCTTTTCTATAAAGGATGCAAAAATGAATAATCAATACTTATAAAAAGATACTCAGATGTTAAAAAACAAAACTAAAAATATCTAATTGATTCCATACAGACTTTAACTCAATCCATTTAACAATACATGGGTTTAGATTTTTAAGTAAATGCATTAAAGTGTTAAGAAAATATACTCACAATGGTGAAAAATATTCATTTCTAATTTAATTATAATATGTTTACACTTTATTTTAAGAACTATTATTCATAGCAAATACATATTTTAAGAGACATAAACGCAGGTTATAGACTTGGATTTCACCTGATGGTATACATAGGAATCAGATCGATTACATCTGTGGAAAGAACGGCCAGAGAAGCTCAATATCAGCTGTGAAAAGTAGGCCAGGAGGTGATTGTGGAACAGACCACCAACTACTCAT